AAAATTTCCTACCAACTGAAAATATTAGATGTGTCCCGCGCGCTCATATGACCTTATGCAGTTGCGAGCGCCGTAAAACGCTTTACAAAAACAAACAAACAAACGTTTTGTATTCTTAAAGTATGACCAATGATTGTTATAGACTGACGATCAAAAGAAAGGTACGGGACCACTTTTTGATTGTTTATACAATCTAGTTTGTGTGTGTGTGTTTACGGGGCGGTTGCTATGGTGTGGTTTGCTTCTTCTTTCCTATCAAATATCTACCGTACTTTTGTTTTATGTCTGTTACTCATTTGTAACACCTTATATTTTCCTCTAATCTTCAGCACTTATTTGACATAATGTGTTGCCAGTACCGTAAAACTCTTACTAAAACCGAAGCGTTCCGTTCACGTGAGTAGTACAGAGTACTCGAAAAAGTAGATCACGTTATAATAACATTTTGGAGTTTCAATTAGTGTTCACAGCACCTACGTTAAAAACAGTGATAATTCTTCTTTTTTTTTAACAATCAATCACGTGGCAGATATGTTCGCTCTGGGTTTTTTTAAATGAAGTTTAGGCCTGTGTTTACGTAGAGCTTCATCAACATTTGTTCATTTTCACCCTAAAAAGATGGTACGTTTAAATCAAGATGAAAGGAATCAAGCCATCGGCATGGCCCGAGCAGCTGTTATTGCGAGGACATCCAACCTCAGCAAAAGAACTGTTAGCCGACTGAGGCAACGGTACGTTGTAACTGGGCCTTTTCAAGACTGACCTAGAACTGGTCGTCCAAGGGTAGGAACTCCTCCAGCTCAAGACCGATACATCAGTACAGTGCACCTGCGAAATTATTTCAGGACAGCTGCTCATACCGGAAGACAGTTTCCTGGACTTTTACCTGTCAGCCACCGTACAGGACATCGCTGACTGAAGGAAGGCCTGTCAGCCACCGTACTGGACATCGCAAACTGAAGGAATTGAAGATTATTGCTAGGATGCCTACACACGGGCTGTGTTTACAGCCAAGATACCGTCAGGCTGGATGGCCCGGATGCAGCTGAGCTACTCAACCGATGGATTCAGAGCAGTGGAACACCGTCACCTTCTCGGATGAGTACCGATTCCGAGTTGAACGCCACGTTGGGAGAAAAAAAAAGTGAACAGGAGACCACATGCGCGCTGCATACCATTTGTTCAACTACACAATCAGTCCTTGACATTCCAGCTGGGCGATGCGCCCACGCACCATGCACTCCACTCCTATCCTAGTTTTTTTATGTCATGAAAAACGTTTGTACTGTAATGGATCCATGGCCTGCTCTTTTACCAGATTTGATCCACTCAGTTGACCGCCTGTGTGACAGGATTGGCTGTTTTGTTCGTGACTTGAATCCCGGCCCCAGAACCATTGTACAGCTGCAGCAAGCCCTCACCAATGCCTGCAACAGCATTTTGCAAGCTGGCTTATGTACTCGGTGTGCACGAGATACACTGCTGTGCTGATTGCACGTGGGGATCAAGCGGCGTACCGATGTGTGACTTTTAGATTTTAACCCCTTTGTCAAATTTTAATCATAAGAGGCTTTTTGAAATGAAAAATAATCATTTCACCCTTATTATCTATCTGTCAAATACTTCAGATTTCAATTTAATGTTTGAGAGAATTGGTATTCTTTTAAAGGAGAAACGAGTCGGATCGAACACATTATAGGGTGGTATTTAAAAAAAAAAAAGATTGGTAGTAAAGAAGCTGCTCTGGTCTCAGCTAATTATCACGTTGAGGTGCCGATGGCACCTTTGGGGCCCATATTTTTTATTTAAAAATTTAAAAATTTAATAATCCCTAGGTCAAATAAACAAAGTAATGTAGGAAATCATTTTTGATGACTGCAGTCTTCTCAACTTACAGAAATAGGGGGAATTAAAAGAAAATTATCTATACCGGTACCCTAAAGTGCTTTTGAATCACTTTTTTGTGTTCACTATTTAGTTTATCTGAGGGAGCGTTTTGATCAGCGTTCTCCAATATTTACCTTCCTATTCAACAAGTCTTTACTTTCGCAAACTATAATTCCATCCTTATGGAAGGCAGCGGAAATTGTGTATATCCCAAAAGTCTCGCTCGTTGTCTCTAAAGCCTTTTCGGCCTGTTTGCTTGACATTCATCGCATAATTAAAGTGCTTAGAGAAAATAATCATATGCAATGCCTTGAGGAAGGCTCATGAAAGCTTTTCAATATGCTTACAAATGGAATAGAAATGTTGAAGGTGCGCCTCACGGGTGTGTCCTGTCCCCAGTTTTATACGCCATGTGCACTACTCTCTACCTTAGAATAACTAAGTTCTATCTGACATTTTTGGATGTTTTGAGTTACTAAGACCAGGAAGTTAGAAACCAAATAATATGTTTGTTCTATCAACATCGCAAGATTATTCGGAGTCGATTCACGATTCAAAGAATTGCATTTGAAAATCTTGACATGTGAAATTCAAGTTTCCATCAAGTCTGCAGTTGTCTACGCTTGGGATATAAAATTTGGCTGGTGGGTGGTAATGGCGGGTGCTCTGGTGTGTTTGCTCCTCCTTTCCAAAAATTACGTTAAAATTTTCAAAGCTGGGTACTGAAAAGATAGAACTTTGTAATTCTAGGGTAAAGCAATGGCTACGCAAACACACAAATAGATTGCACCGTCATTAATTGATTTTTTGTTGATTCATCCATCCATCTAAGAGGCCACCTTTGACTTTGACTACGAAAATAGGCTGGTTCTTAATTATTACCCCCCCCCCCCCAAGCCTTAATCAGTTTAAACCATAAGGATTAACGGGTGGTTGGAGGGCGCTACCATCAAGTCTGCAGTTGTCTCCGCTTGGGATATAAAATTTGGCTTGTGGGTGGTAATGGCGGGTGCTCTGGTGTGTTTGCACTTTGCTCCTCCTTTCCTATCAAACATCTATCGTCCGTCTTTCTCTTCTTTCTTTCCTGTGTAGGTCACTCGTCTTGTGTCACTTCAGATCTTCGGCGCTTATATGATCTTATTGTGTTGCAAGTGTCGTAAAACTTTTACTAAAAACTAAAACTTTTTCTTTGTGTTTGTTACTCTCTTGTAAAGTGGGTGATTGGAGGGTGCCACTGGTAGGTCCTACTTCTTTTCTTTCCCACTGGTAGGTCCTACTTCTTTTCTTTCCATCTGTTGTTTCAGCCTGTCTTAGTTTTTTTTTCGAACGCTTGATGGCCATTACTGTGCCGATATGCTTCTCTTTACCCAAACGAACAAACAAACTCTTTTGTAACAACTCTAATCTTCGACACTTACATGATTTAATTGTGTCGCAAGTGTCGTAAGCTCATATTAAAAACTGAAACTGTATTTTCTTATCCCCCCCCCCTCCAAACAACAACAACAACGTGGGTGGTTGGCAGGTGCTCTGGTGTGGTTTTCTCCTTCTTTCCTATCATTATCAAACACCTATCCTCCTTATCTCCCCTCCTTCTGTTTTATGTTTGTTACTCTCGTGTAACACCTCTAATCTTCTGGCGCTCTTATAACCTTATGCAGTTGCGAGCGCCGTAAAACCTTTACTAAAACAAAACGAAAAAAGAAAACAGCAACAACAACTACAACAACAAACAACTTGGTGTGTGTGTTTCAGAGAATGGCCGAGGTGTTCCGATGCGTCATCTGCATGGAGAAGCTTCGAGACGCCCGCCTGTGCCCTCACTGCTCCAAGCTCTGCTGTTTCCCCTGCATTCGGGTGAGTTTTGTTCTCCTCCTCCTCCTCCTCCTCCTCCTCCTCCTCCTCCTCCTTCATTATAATGTTATTAAATCATATCATCCGGAATCTTATCGCACTTCTTTATAATTATTTTGGCCATGTGTTACGAACATCCACTTTGTCTATTTGGATATCTCCTTCTTTAATTTACATTTTGAAGATACCCTAGACACTAATGTTAAATCTATCAAATCTATTATAGAGACTCGTGGTCTCTATCAATACATTGATGTCCCCACTCACATTAAAAAACACACATTAGATTGGGTGATTACAAGCAATGTCAATAAAATCGGTGAAATTCAAGTAAAGAACAAATGCATTTCGGATCACTACGTGGTGTCCTTTGAAATAACTCGTATAGGGAAGCCCAAACTGAGACACCGCGAAATAATAACCCGGAAAATGGACATTGATAATGAAAAGTTTGGAGCTGACATTCACCAGCTTCTGAAATTCATAGACGGTTCAACCTCCGAGAAGGTAGACATTTTCAACATCAAGATGTGTGAACTACTAAACAAACATTCACCAGTCAAATCCAGAACAGTGACTGATCGACCTTCTGCCCCGTGGATGACTTTGGAAATTAAACAATCTAAAATGGAACGTAGACGAGCTGAAAGACGCTGGAGATCAACAAAGCTGAAAATTCATGAGGACATTTATAGACACTGTAACAACATGGTGAAATCGTTAATAACATCTACCAAATGTTTGTATTATAACGGAAAAATTAATGAATGTACCACCTCTAAAGCTTTATTTTGTATAACAAATCAGTTGTCTGATGAGAAAGATCCGGCCCACAACAAGTTTCCCACGAATGTACCTAAAAGTGACCTTCCTGATGTTTTTGGTCAATACTTTAGAGACAAGATATCCACAATTAGGAAAATAGATTGACATGACTACCCATAAACTACCATGTTTTGAAACTTTTTCTGGGGTAATCTTTATTGAATTTGTACGTGTAACACAAGAAGATGTAAGATCAATCATAATGTCATCACCCCATAAAACATGTAGTCTTGATCCCATTCCAACACCACTGCTCATCACACATCTTGATAGTGTCATTGGATTTATAACTTCCATCATTAATGAGTCTCTTCAGTCTGGAGTAGTACCATCACTCTTTAAGCATGCTTTAGTTATTCCCCTTCTCATAAAATCAAATGTTTCCTCGGAGGAGCTCAAGAATTTCAGACCTGTCTCCAACCTTCCCTTTTTATCAAAAATCTTGGAGAAAGTTGTTTTGGTTCAATTGAAGAATCATTTAAAAGAAAACAATTTATAGGAGTTATATCAATCTGCATATCGGCAATTTCATAACACAGAACTGCGCTATTGAAAATATATAACGACCTCTTGTGTGAGGCGGATGAGAACAAAATATCAATTCTTTCTCTTCTTGATCTTAGTGCTGCCTTTGACACTATAGATCACACTATTCTTATTGAACGATTGTTCAACACGTTTGGCCTATCTGGCAGGGTTCTTGACTGGTTCAGGTCCTACCTGATTGGCCGTACACAATCTGTGGTTGTGCACGATTCTCTTTCGTCAATTTTTTAAGCTAGACTTTAGAGTGCCTCATAGTTCAGTATTGGGCCCAATCTTGTATACGTTATATACTCAGCCGCTTGGAGCTGTGATTAGAAAGCACAATATGAATTATCACATGTACGCTGACGATACACAGTTATATAAATCTGTTCCATCATCAGATGTTAAAACTTTGGTTACTACCATGGGTCTGTGCATTGATGACATCAAAAAGTGGATGGTTGATAATAAGCTCCTGCTTAATGAAAATAAAACTGAAATTCTTTTATGTAACCCAAAGAAAAGCCATATCCCCGTAGACATTGATCATATTTGTACTGAAAATGAAAAACCGTATTTTACTAATAAAGCAAAAAATCTGGGAGTGTATTTTCATTCCAAATCGTCAGTGGAACATCATAATAATTATTTGTTTACCATTTTATTTTGTGAATTGCGTAGAATTGGTCATATGTCTATGTTTTTGAATGAACACTCGTTGAAAACGCTCGTGTCACCTTTCTTGTTTTCACGCATCGATTATTGCAATGCTTTACTAGCTGACTTACCAAATACCACTCTTCACGAGTTACGTTTTCAAAATAATGCTGCTAGGCTTGTACTAAAGAAAAAGAAGAGGGACCACATTACTCCCATGTTAAGAACATTGCATTGGCTTCCCGTGTCAGCTAGAATGTCATATAAAATTGCAATATTATGTCATAAATGGATCAATAACAAAGCTCCGTCATATCTTAGTGATCTCATCCATATTTATGTTCCATCTAGATCACTAAGATCAGGCGATCAGTATCTTTTAAGAGTTCCTAGAAAAGGGGGTAAAAAATTAGCAGAAAGATCGTTCGCCCACCTTGCTCCGTGAGTTTGGAACTCTCTTCCCCAACCCTTGAGACATACAACATCTGAGTCTAAATTTTAAAAATCTTAAAAGACACATTTAATGACATCCTTTTTATGTCAGTAGATTCGTGTTCAGTACAAATTTATGTAAATGACTATGTATCCAGTGATGTATTTTGTGAATTGCATTGTGTATATTATTTTATGCTCATTTCGTGACGATGTGTAAGCGTGTGCGTATGATAAGCAAGTAGATGTGTGTGTGTGTGTGTGTGTGTGCGCGCGCGCGCGTGTGTGTGTGTGTGTGTGTGTGTGTATGTGTGTGTGTTTGGCGTACATGTGTAGGCACATGTGTGCATGTTATGTATTAGGGAGTGTGTTTGTGTATGTGTATGTGTATATCGTGTGTGTGTGTGTGTGTGTGTGTGTGTGTGTATGAGTGTGTGAAATTGTGTGTGTGTGTGTGTGTGTGTGTGTGTGTGTGTGTGTGTGTGTGTGTGTGTGTGTGTCGCGTGCGTGAATATTGTTCGTACATGCATTAATATAAAGCGCCTAGAGCTGTGTTTACACGGGAGTGGGCGCTATAGAAATGATCTTCATTATTATTATTATTATTATTATTTGTCATTCAGCAAGACTCTCCTCCTCCCTCCTTCTCCTCCTCCTCCTCCTACTCCTCCTTTCCTCCTACTCCTTGCTTTAGTGCTCAATCAAGAAATATTTTTTAATGATGTGCTTTGAAAAAAGTCGATTGACTTTTCTGACTTTCTTTGTATCCGACAAAGTGCCCATCTCTGATTATGTTGAGTAAAAGGGTGTGAGGATTACGATGAAAAGAAAGGGGTTGGGGGCAGGGGCAGGAGAGCACTGGACTCTCTGGTTGTGGAATCTAAAAGTAGTTGTTTTTTTTATAAGGACCAGGCTCTTATTTGTGATATGGGTAGCAGAAGTTGTCGTGATGTCATATTTGGTATGTAGACTTTAGTTTCATTTGTATGTTTGTAATGCTTTCTTCCTTTTGTCTGAGTTGTTTCATTATGTTTTTGAAGAGGAAGAGGACAGTAAATAGAAAGGAGAGAAAGATTTTGTCTGCAGTTGTACCTTTCATTAATAATTTTATTGTACTTTTAACCCATTCTTTGCCTCGCTCAAAGGTGTATAAACTCATTTGATAGCATTTTACAGCAGACCTGGCAGTGAAAAGGTTATGACCCATAGGTACCTAAAAGAACCGTTTCTCAACCGTTTAACCGAAAACTTAAATTATGTCCTCTTGCTTTTGTGTCGGTTTCAGAGATGGCTTACAGAGCAGAGATCCCAGTGCCCGCACTGCAGGTAGGATACCTAGTGGTTTAGTACGGGGCTTCGGGAAATGCACTTATGTGCCAGACCAATGCTCATAGAATCAGTAGTTCGATGGTTCAGATCAGGAAACCAGTATGCCACTATGTCACACTTGTCTAAAAAAATCAACTTTTTTTTTTTAGCTTTTCCATGAACGCTGATCTTTCTCCATCACATATCTTTTCGATGCGAGGATCGAACTGTAAATAAAAAGTTACTGTCTAATCTAATCCTCACATTGAAAAGATAATGTGACGGAGAAAGAACTGGCTACGAAGGCTAAAAAATTATATATATGTCTATTTTTGTTTTGTTTTTTGTTTTTGTAAGTGTTTTACGGCGCTCGCAACTGCATAAGGTCATATGAGCGCGCGAACACACTAAACTTTTTTCAGTTGGTAGGAAATTTTGAATTTTGCCCGGGTGGCGGCCGAAGCCTACTCTTACCGATTTTAGACCACCAAGGGATCTTTAACGTGCACAACTTGCACACGGGACCTCCGAGATTTTTCGCCCTTGTCCGAGAAGGCTAGGTGTAGATCTTTCCTACCAGAAGATCAGGGGTGTGGCTGAAAGACAGCAGTAAGAAGAAGC